GGAGGGGAGGACGAGACGAGCGGGAACGGAGCAACATAGGGTGGGTGGGCAGGACAGGAGAGACGGGACGAGCACGGGAGGGACGGCGAGCCCAAACGTGAGACGGAGGTGTAGGGTCACGGGACAGCGGAGGAGACACAGGAGGGGAACGAGGAGGAAGACGGGCCGGAGACGAGTCCGGCGGCGGGAACACAGGACCGTAGACAAGAAGGTCAGCGGGCGGTGGGGGAGACACAGGCGCGCGGTCCGGGGAGGGAAGGCCGAGCAGGCAGAGAGCGGAGACCGGCGGCGACGGCTGCTGCGGCGGCGACGACGGCTGGGCCGGAACTCTCGGACCAGCAGAGGCAGAACGACCGTCGGCAGAACACTCAACAGCAGCACCCCCAGAACCAACACCCCCAGAGCGAGAACCCCCTCCAATACGAGCGGCACCCCCAGAAGCCGCAGGACGAACACCCTCCTCCACACCAGCACCCCCAGGGGCCAAGAGCGGCAGCAGCAGTGGCGGCGACGACTGCGGCGACGACGGCTGCGGCGGCGGCGACAGCGGCGACGGCGGCGGCGGCTGCAACGGGGTCAGCGACTGCGACAGTGGGGGCGGAGGCACCGGGGAAGGGGGACGCGGCAAGGACGGACCGGGGGTACCACCAGTGTCAGCAGACTCCTCAACAGGGACAACCGACGGGAGGGGAGTGACGTGAGAGACACTAGACGGGGCAGGACGAGGCGGGAGAGGGGCAGGGGCTACCGGGGGAGAGGGAGCAAGGATCAGGGGGGGGGGCAACTGGGAGACCTCGGTGAGGGAAGCGGCGGTAGAAGGAGACGGACTCGTCAAAGGTGACGTCACGATAGTGGAGGAAGCGGTGAGACGGCGGGTGGTAGAAAAGCCAGTCTGACGGGTCCAGGGGGAAACCGAGGAAGACACAGGGGACAGTGCGGGCAGTGAGCTTGTCCGTGCCAGAGGCACGAACGTGAGCAAGGCAGCCCCAGACGTGGAACGCAGACGCGTCACCGGGGGACCCGGTCCAAAGGAGGGTCGGCGAAACCTGCGGCCGCTGGGAGCGTGGCCACAAGTTAAGCTGGTGAGCAGCGTAGCGAACAGCGAACGGCCACAGAAAATGGGGGGCATCGGCATGGATCATGGAGGTACGGGCGACCTCCATGACCAAGCCGATGCGGCGCTCAGCAACCCCATTCTGCTGTGGCGAGTCCGGCAACGTGTACGACTGGGTGATGCCCTCCGCACGACAGAACTGTCCAAGCCGACCAGAGGCGAACTCGCCGCCACGGTCGGAGTGGAGACACAACACGGGGAGACCGCGGTGGAGACGCGCAGCCACAACCCACGGGAGAAGAACGTCGGGCACGTCGGCCTTCCGCTCCAGGGGAAACACCGTGGTGTAGCGCGTGTAGTCGTCGACGAGCACAAGGAAGTAGAGCTCACCGCGCGGTCCGGGGACGGGGGCAGGGCCCCAAACGTCCAGGTGCAGGGTCTGAAGGGGGGCAGTAGCAGGGCGCAGCGAGGAGGAGTGAGGAGCACGGCGGAGCCGACCCTCGACACAAGGCGTGCACGGTGGCGCAGTCGAGGGAGGAAAGGCAGGGAGTGACGCGGGGAGACCTAAGACAAGACCGTGCTGGGACATGTGACGCAGACGCGGGAGAGCAGGGTGACCTAAGCGGTGGTGCCAGAGAAGGGACGGGTGAGTGAGGGACTGACACGAGCAAGCTGCAGCAACCTGGGAGGACGCACCAACCGGAGGAGAAGCGGTGTCTAGGGTAAACAGACCGGACACCGGGTCCCTGGGGAACGTCGCAAGGGGGGAACCTGAGACAGCCTCAGAACAGACAGCGAACCGCTCGTGCCCGGGGAACGTGGTGGTGACACCGAGGTCCTGGAGACAGCCGACACCAACCAGGTTCTTGGAGAACAAGGGAACGTGGAGGTCAGTAAGGGAGCCCGAGGGAACTGCCGGACAGGGAAGGGACGTAGAACTGCGCGCGACGACAGGACCCGCAGAGGGGTCAGTGAGAGAGACAACAGCAGGCGCAGCAAGCGGCGTGAGCGTGGAACGGTCGCGGAAGAAGCAGGCAGAAGCACCGGAGTCGAGAGTGAAGGACAGCGACGCAGTGGCGGAGGCCGGGGACGGAGCCGGTGCAGCGACTAGACTAGGCAACCTAGGCAGTCCTACGCCTGGCGCAGCAGGGGAGGCTAAGCTACACAGTGGTGCAACACCTAAACTAGAGTACACAGGGTAATAAGATCCAGCAAAACTAGAAGCGTCAGAATACAAAGCATGCAAAGCATCACCTATCTGATCTATGTCTAACTCAAAGATCGGCACGCCCTGGCGGAGCAAGCTGTGCCAGTCGGGGAGGTCCAGGGCCGGGCCAAAGCGACGACGAAAGAGATCGTCGAGGCGGCGGAAACAACGGGCGATCGGGTGCGGGCGGCGGCACAGAGTGCCGTGAAGAGGCCCGGTCTGAAGCTGGTACTAGCAGGTGACAGCACCGGAGCCGCCAGTAGACGCCAAGCTGCGCAGGCCGCCACCACGGCCACTACCTCCGGAGGTGCCGGGCCAGCCAGGCGGGAGACGGGCCCACTACTGCGGCGACTGCTGCTGGGACGGTGACTGCTGCTGGGGCGGCGGCTGCGGCTGGGGCTGCTCCTGCTGCGGCTGGGGCTGCTGCTCCTGCCCACCAGTGGTAGTCCCCGCAGGCGGACTACCGTCACCACCACTACCGCCATCACCCCTACCTCCCTGGCGACCACGGCCACCGCGGCGCGAGCGCTGCTGCGGGTGGACCGCAGCAGCCGTCTCGGTGAGAGGGGCCGCCGAGGCGACCGTAGCCGAAACGTTAGCAAACGTATACTGGGAGGGGGCACAACCGTGAAAGATAGAAACTGCCGGCGCACCGCTCGACTGAGCGATAGTGCGTTGGCGAGTCTCGATCTCTGTGAGGGTATCGACAAAGGCAGTGAGGGTGAGGTCACCCGGGTGCTGGCTAAGGAAGTGATCGCGAACACTAGCGAGGCGGTCTGGCAGGCGCATGGCGATAAAATAGAGCGTCATGCAGAAAGGGGGGGGGAGCGCAGTGAGCTGGGCAGCAGTGCTGGCAGTGCGATAGCGGGTCTCTAGGGCACGCAGGTGAGTGGCAAAGTCTGCGACGGTAGGGAAAGCTGCAAGGTCTGGGAAAAGCATAGGGAAGACCAGGCGACCAGCAGAAGCAGACGCGGGTGTGGAATAGCGAGCAATTACAGCGTCTAAGTAAGCTTTGGCCGTCTCAATAGTAGCAAAACGCGAGCGCTCAGAGACAAGGAGGGCGTGGCTAATGGCAACCTGAGCGACTGCATCGCGGGAGTCCCAAACCGCACGAGCAAGCGCAGCAGTAGAGAAGGTCTCACGGTCATCAGAGGAGGGATCAGCAGGGAGGGGAGTAGGTGCGGGGGGGCGGGGGAGCAAGCCGTCGACATGGACAACCAAAGAGTGGCCATCCTGGCGCTGACATATAAGGTGGCGGCGGAGATCGGAGAGCCAGGCGGCGAAGTCAACCGCATGGCCCTCGGCGTCCAGTCGGAGCACGAAGTCCGCCATCGTGCAGGGTCAGCGGCACAGCTCCACAGGAACACAGCGACGCAGGAACACAGTGACAACCCCCTCCAGCATGGCGGCCGCGAAGCGCCTCAGCACGGGCGAGCAGAGGAGACGGAGCCCGAGGCGGCACGGCAGGACGAGCCGGGGCGAAGGGGCCAGGCAGGTGCGGTGAGGCCAGGCAGGTGCTGGCGGGGCCAGGCAGGTGCGGCGAGGCCAGGAAGGCGCGGCGGGGCCAGGCAGGCGCGGCGGGGCCAGGCAGGCGCGGCGGGGCCAGGCAGGCGCGGCAGGGCCAGGCAGGCGCGGCGGGGCCAGGCAGGCGCGGCAGGGCCAGGCAGGCGCGGCGGGGCCAGGCAGGCGCGGCGGGGCCAGGGAGGCGCGGCGGGGCCAGGCAGGCGCGGCGGGGCCAGGCAAGTGCGGCGGGGCCAGGCAGGCGCGACGGGGCCAGGCAGGCGCGACGGGGCCAGGCAGGGCGTGACGGGGCCAGGCAGGCGCGTCAGGGCCAGGCAGGTGCAGCGGGGCCGGGCAGGCGCGGCGGGGCCAGGGAGGCGCGACAAGGCCAGGCAGGGCGCGACGGGGCTAGGCAGGGCGCGACGGGGCCTGTTGGGGGCGACGGAGCCTGGCAGGGCGCGACGGGGCCGAGCGGGCGCAACGAGGCCAGGCAGGGCGCGACGGGGCCAGGCAGGGCGCGACGGGGCCAGACAGGGCGCGACGGGGCCAGACAGGGCGCGACGGGGCCCAGGAGGGGCGCGACAGGGCTAGGGGGCACGATGGGGCCCAGGAAGGGCGCGAAGGGACTAGGGCGGGGCGACGGGGCTAGGGTGGCGCGACGGGGCCCAGGAGGGGCGCGACAGGGCTATGAGGCGCGACGGGGCCCAGGAGGGGCGCGACAGGGCTAGGGTGGCGCGACGGGGCTAGGGTGGCGCGACGGGGCCCAGGAGGGGCGCGACGTGGCTAGGAGGCGCGACGGGGCCTAGCTAGGGTACGGGCGGAAGCGGTAGGTGGGGGATGCTAACCTACGCGTGATACCATGTCAAAGTGAGAACGAATAATGACTAGAAGTGGAAACCTAGAACAAATACTAGTTGGTTGTACTCACTAGAAGCATACCTCAGTCTAGCCTAAAACTTCTACATAGCTCATATGTATAAGTTGACAAGGGAGTCCCTTGAAATGGCCTTGTCGAAGTGTTTATAGGAACCTGTAGATATCTCGAAGTGTCAAGGAGATATCTACAGGTTCCTATATACAGAGCTCTTATGTGTTCTTTCTGTGCTTTGTTCTGTGTTTCGTTAGTAGTACTACAGGTGGTGGGTGCTGGTTTCAGGTTTTTGGCTGTTTGTGTGTGTGCGTGTGTGTGTATGTGTTTTTTTTTTTTTTTTTTTTTTTATTAGTCACATGACATGAGTGTACCTGGTAGTACCCTACTGGATGTTTCATGAAAACAAACCAACCAACCAACCAGCACACACATCCCATGCTCCCATTCCCTTCCCTAGAACACCACAGCACCGCACTCACCCCATCTGCGCCTGCAGCTGTTCACCAGCTTGAGAGCAGCCAGGCCATCCATCATACCGGTATCTCCAGCCCTCTTCAGCTTGACTGCCCTCCTCTTCTGCTCCACACCTGCTGCTGCCACTCCTTCCCTTCCCTAGAACGAGTCCTCTTCAGCTTGACCGCCCTCCTCTTTTGCTCCAATCCTGCTCCTGCAACGTACTCTCTCCCCTTGCTTAGAAACCCATCGTCACCGCACTCAACCCATCTGCGCCTGCAGCTGTTTGGCCAGCTTGAGAGCCGCCAAGGCACCCGCCATGTCTCCAGCCCTCTTCAGGTCAACCGCTCTCCTCTTCTGCTCCAACACCTGCTCCTGCAATGACATACCCCCACTCGCACTCCCACTCACACTCCCACTCCCACTCCCACTGCCACCAGCAGCAACAGCAGCTGGTTTGGCTGCTGGTGCTGGAGCTGACGCCACTGGTTTAGCGCCTGCTGCTGGTTTCGACGGTGCTGCTGCCGTTGCTGCAGGCTTGGCGGGGGCAGGTTTGGCCGAGGCAGGCTGGCTGGCCTGGCGGCCGCCCGGGGCAGGTCCGGCGAGCCCGAGGCTGCGGAGGTTTGCCATAAGAGCAGCGTCAAATATACCCAAATCATCATCGTCATCATCATCATCCTCCCCTAAGCCAAGACTCATGAAGGAAGGAGGAAGGGGAGGAGGGGGCCGTCGCTGGGGTGTTGGTGCCTTCTTGGGAAGCACAGCAGCAGGTGCAGCAGTAGTAGCAGCAGGAGAAGCCGAAGGAGCAGCAAGAGCGGCAGACCCACTGTTACCACTGCTGTTACCACTGCTGTTACCACTGCTGTTACCACTGCTGTTGCCAATGCTGTTGCCACTGCTGTTGCCACTGCGGTTACCACCTGTCTCAGCTAGCTGTTTCTCGATCGCCTTGGCTTTCTTGAGCTCAGATAACGCCTCCCCCAGCTTGCCCTCCTTCTTGAAAGCCACGGCCCTTCGCCTGCATGCCTGTAATTCAGCCTCCAGCTCGTTCTTGCTGCTTGAGCTAGCTGCTGCTGCTGTTGCTACTGCTGCGGTTTCTGTTGCTGTTGCTGTTGCTGGTGCCATTGCTATTGCTTCTGTTGCTGCTGTGGTAGGCATTTCTCCTGCTGCTGCGGTTACCCTGCCCACAAGACCCTCCTCTGCTGCACCCTTGCTCCTTGATGCTGCTATCAACTGCTCTCGCTGCTGCGGTTGCTGCTGCTCCTGCTGCTGCGGCTGCGGTTGCTGCTGCTCCTGCTGCTCCTGCTGCTGCTGCTGCAGTCGCATGGCAGTGATCAAGGCAGCAACAGCAGGTGTCATGCTGGTAGCAACCACAGCTGCACCCAACTGACTGGTAGCTGCACCACCACCACTACCACCACCACTACCACCACCACTACCACCACCACTACCACCACCACTACCGCCACCACTACCGCCACCACCACCGCCACCAATGACAATATCTGGGTCACCACCACTGCCGCCACCAAACTGACTGGCATCTGCACCAGCAGCAGCAGGAGCAGCACCCCCACCACCAGCACCAAAACCACTGCCACTGCCACTGCCACTGCCACTACTGCCACTGCCACTACCACTGCCACTACCCACGTCACCCCCGATGACGTCTCGTGATTCCTCGCCCCTCCCGCACTTCACTTCCTCGGGCGAATCAGCCTCTTCATCCCGAACCTTTTCCACCCGAGCCTCTTCCATCCGAGCCTGGTCTGCAGGAGCCTGGCCTACAGGAGCCTGATCCGCCCGAGCCTGATCCGCCCGAGCCTGCAGCCCTTTGGCCTGTTTCAGTTTATCCATGGCTTCCCCCAGCCGCCCCTCCCTCTTCAGCCCCACTGCTGCCAGCTTGCACTCCCTAGCTGCCGCCTCAAGTTCCTCGGCAGTTTCCGGCTCCCGGGCGGCAAGGCTTGTCTCCTCTGATTCCTGCTCCTCCTTCTCTTCCTCCTCCTTCTCCCCCTCTCTGCTCACCTCTTCTCCCACCCACCCCGCAGCAGCAAGGGCAGCGAGCATGTCTGGATCGTCCTCGTCCTCGTCCTCGTCCCCATCCCCATCCCCCTCATTAACATCACCACCATCATAGTCAACATCATCATCATCGTCATCATCACCACTCATTAGTATCGCACGGATTCTCTCGTCCATATCCTCCAAAGCTGCTGGCGCTGCTGCTGCTGCTGCTGCTGCTGCTGCCGGTGGTGTTGCTGCTGCTGCTGGCTTGCCTGCTCCGGCTCCCCCTCCTGCTGCTCCTGCCACTGCTACTGGCACTCTTGCTCCTGCTTCTGCTGGTGCTGCTGCTGGTGGCGCTACTGGCACTGGCGCTGGCGGTGCTTGTGCTGCTGCTGCTGCGGCCACTGAAGCTGCCGCTGCCACTCCTGCTAGCCCTGCGGTTGACCCAGCATCGCGCCCCATGGACGCCCCTCCTGCTGCCAGCACTATAGCAGCCTCTATCCGCGCCTCTAGCCCCTTGGCCTGCTTTAAAGCCGCCATGGCCTCCCCCATACGCCCCTCTCTCTTAAAGCCCAGCGCTTTCCTCTTCCACTCCAACGCCTCCGCTTGCAATGCTGCGATATCCACCTCCTCCTCCTCCTCTCCGTCCCCCTCTCCTTCTCCCTCTCCCTCTCTCACTCCCTCTCCCTCCTCCCCTTCCTCATCCGACTCCCATCCAAGGGCTCTTAGATCATCCATACACTCCCCATCGTCATAAGCACCCCCCATATAGTCACCCCCTCCCCTCCCTCCCCCCTTCCTCCCCCCACCAGCAGCAGCCCCACCCATCCCCAACCCCTGTGCACCCCCTACCTCCCCCTCCTCCTCATCCTCCTCCCCTATCCCAGCAATTATAGACATAATCTGTGCAAGGTCTAATTCCGCTCCCCCTCCCCCCCTACCGCCCATACCCCCACCACCTCTCCCCATCCCCCCCATCCTTAAATCCGTCTCCTCCACAAGTGCCACGTCATCAACACTTGTCAGCCCAAGACTGGCTAATAATCTCTTCTCCTCGTCGTCATGCCCCCCCTCCCCTCCGTCCGCTAACCCTAATAAGAACGACCCGTCTTCTATTTCTTTCTCGAGCTTCTTAGCCTTTCTTAGTTCCGCTAGCGCCTCCTGAACCTGCCCCTGCCCCTTAAGTTGCCGCGCCTTGCGCTTTAACTCCAACACCTGCGCTTCTGCCGCTTCTCGCGCCGCGCTTACCTCGTCCTCCTCCCCCCCGCCATCCACGTCATCAAGCCCCGCCAAAAGCCCGTCTCCACCGCCTCCGCCCGCTCCGCCCTTCCCCCCTGCTGGCTCCGCCCAACCCATCTCGCGGAGCTGCGCCATGAGCTCCCCGTCGTCGTCCCCCCCCGCCTGCAGCCGCGCTAGGCCCTTCCGCTCCGCTTTTACTCCCTCCGCCGCCGCGCTCTTGCGCTCCCCCCCTGCTCTGGCGCCAGCAGATCCGGATTTAACCGCCCTCGCCGCCTTCCCCTTCTCCGCGAATCGGACCTCCGCCTCCGCCTCGAGGGATCTCGTTTCCGCCACGCGCCTTCCGCCCGCCCCGCGCGCCCCAGCGGCTGCGCGTAACACGTTTCCGCGCGCCACCGCTTCCCCTGCTATCGCTTCCGCTTCCCTGGAAGCTGCGGAAAGCGCGGCGGCGATTGCGGCGGACTCCTCTTTGTCCTTGGCGCGCTTCTCCAGCTCCCGCGCGGCTTTTACCGCCTTCTGCGCGCGCGCGTACAGCCCCGCTTCGCGCATGGCGGCAGATTTGGCGCGCTGCTCCTTGGCCTGCGCGCGCATAGAGTCCGCGGTGGCGCCGTCATCGATCGAAATACCTAATTCGCTTAAGATGCTCCCCACATCGCTTCCTTCCGATGTGGCGTCTCCCCCCGATGCCACGTCAGCACCCGAGGTTCGCGGTTTCTTGGTACCAGCCGCGGCTCGAGCATTCGCGTTCTTTCTGGGCGGCGTCTTGTTGTCGTTACGCTGCCCGAAAAATCCGAACATGGCTGCCCGCAAAATCCGAGCTGTGCCGAGGAGCTGGTGTCGAGCACGGAGGCAGGTCGACTTGGTTCAATCGACGGAGTGAATTTATGCCCTCCGCACAAAACACCCCACGAGGAGATTCTCAAGGTAGGAGGTGCTGGGGAAGACAAGCTTCTTGGCGTCCTAGATTTTAGGTCTGGAGATCCACTTCGCATTCCGTGCAAGGTGTGCTATGCTATATCGAGGATTCCAACATTTGCTCGAAGTGATGGGAATAGTGCGGTTATTCTCAAACCACAGCACATTTGATCTACGTGCTGTAACATATCGAGTGATCGTTTATAGAGTTCGAACCTTCGTGGTGCGTGGCCTTGAAGTAATCGGAGCAGGGTTCTAGGCGGGCTTGGGTTTGGCTGATCCAATCAGAAAGCAGGATTCAACATTTGCGTAGACAGCGTGGTTTTCTGATGTACACAAGGGAAGGTTGCGGAGATTCCAAGGGAAGCCATAATTAGTCCCCTGAGATTATTCCCTTCGAATCTATAATTGCTACAGTATTATGACTCAAACGTGTGGATTGCTCAGCATATAGTGTGTCGCTAAGTTCCGTTACCGCACACGGCGGGATTTACGCTTCGATCATCTCATAGCGTTGGTTAGTATCGTCACCTTACGCGCCCAGTGGCAGCAGCCGCGGCTCGTGAGCCTCTCATATTCCGGCCGTAGTCGATCTCGGTTGAATCTTTCGATTTCTTGTATTTCTCCAGGTTTGCTTGCACGTAACCGTGTGAGGAGCCGCCTTTACCTCAGCCATTGTCTTGCCTCGAAACTCCTAAACTCCTCGAAGCTCTGCCCTTGGCCGGTCTATTTTTCAGGCGCCTCAAGAGCCGCCATTACCTCGGCCATTGTCATTGTCTCGAAAATCCCAAACTCCTCCAAGCGGTGCCCTTGGTCAGGGACACCTCAAACACAACAAACTCTTCGCGGTCATTTTCCCGAGCCTATTAACTCAGCCACTATTCCGCGACGCCTATTGACTCAGCCACTATTCCGCGACGCCTATTAACTCAGCCACTATTCCGCGACGCCTATTAACTCAGCCACCATTCCGCGACGCCTATTAACGCAGCCATGTCGCAGCTGTATCCGCGGCTCCACGTCTCCCCGGAGGAGCTCGCGGCGCTCCAGAACCACCCGAAGCGCATCCGGAATATCTGCGTGCTGGCGCACGTGGACCACGGAAAGACCACGCTCTCAGACCACTTAATCGCCAGCAACGGTCTAATCCACCCGCGGCTCGTCGGGAAGCTTAGGTTCTTAGACTGGCGGGAGGACGAACAGCGGCGCGGGGTTACTATGAAGAGCTCGTCGATCGCGCTGCTGTTTAGGAGACACGGGGGATCTATGGGCGCGACGGCCGGGGAAGGGGGGAAGCCGCAGGCGCAGGATGGTTTGGAGGACAAATATCTTGTGAATCTTATTGACTCTCCTGGACACATCGACTTCTGCAGGTAACGAGCTTGCCTGTATGGGTATATTTTTTGTGGGTGGCTGTCACAGGCTCTTTTCCTCCGTATCCCATTGACTTTCCACATTCCATTTTCCTGCCCCAATTCCCTTGTCCCGACTGAATTTCTCTCTGAGTGTTTCACTCTATCGTACCCAACCACACACATCCTTTTTATCTCCCCATACCGTTGTGTAAAATTTTTGGTGTTACTATTACAGCGAGGTATCAACAGCAGTGCGTGGCTCTCAGACAGGCGTGCCTAACTCTCTCCCTCCCTTTTCCCATCCATCGCCCGGTCCTGTGCTGATGTGGTAAATCATCACAGTGAGGTGTCGACTGCAGCGCGTGTGTCAGACGGGGCAGTGGTGCTGGTGGATGCGGTGGAGGGGGTGCACATACAGACGCACGCCGTGCTCCGACAGGCCTGCCTGGAGAGGCTACAGCCCGTACTCGTTATAAACAAGATGGACAGGCTTATAACCGAGCTGATGCTCACTCCTGGCGAGGCGTACGAACGGCTTAAGGTGCGAAGCGGACAGGAGGATGTTTCTCCTGCTGTGTTTACAAAACCCTGACAAAACCCTGACAAAACCCTGACAAAACCCTGACAAAACCCCTGACCAAACCCTGACCATACCTCGACCTACCCTCACACCATAAATTTACCAGGCAATTAGGAGTGTCTAGTACAGTACTTGCTGTTTCCTTGTATCACAGAGTGTGTTGAGATTTGGAACCCTTGCATTTAGAGGTCCCTTCATCGCTAAACCCTTGCAACCTCAATCCCTTCCTCCCCCGCAGGGCATGATGACCGAGGTCAAACTCCATCATCCCCGCATCCCTGATTTTGCAGGGTGTTTTTGAGAATTCTCAAAAACACCCTGCAAAACCGTGGCACCAACCTGTTCTTTTCTTCATAGCTCTCCCCTTTTACACCCCCCCCCCCCACCCTCTTCCCCCCCCCCACCCTCTTCCCCCCCCCCACCCTCTTCCCCTCCCCCACCCCCCCGTTTTCTCCCTTCTTCCCCCTCAGGCCATAATTACCGAAGTCAACAACAACATCCACGTGTTCCGCTCCGAGACTAACATGTGTTTTGATGCGCCTCGAAAATCTCCTCCCTCCCAGACCCCCCCATCCTCCCCCCGCATGATCCCGGAGGTCAACAACATCATTCACGCGTTCACGTGGTGCCAACCTGCTCTTTCCTTGGTACTCCCCCTCCCCCCCCCCTCCTCTCTCCCTCCCTCTCCTTGCTACCCCCCCACCCCCAACCCCCCCCCGTCCGTCAGGAAATATTAACGGAGGTCAACAACATCATCCACGCGTTCCGCTCTGAGAAGCACATGTTCTTTGATGCCCCTCAAATGTCAATTCTACCCTTCCCCGCCCCGCACCCCCCCCCACCTCCACCCATCCCCACCCACCCCTCCCCCCCTTCTCCCTCTCAGGGCATAATTACCGAGGTCAACAACATCATCCATGCATTCCGCTCTGAGAAGTACATGTCCCACGTGGACTCCCTCTCCCTGCCAGCTGGCGCCACGTCAGCTGACCATCCACCTGGCAGCGACGGGGCAGGGAGCGAGGGAGAAAGGGGCGGGGAGGAAGCGAGAGGGGCGGGGGAGGGGGAGGAGGAGGAGGATGAGGAGGATGTATTTTCTCCTGATAAGGGGAATGTGGCGTTGGCTAGTGCGGTGGATGGGTGGGCTTTAAGGGTGAACGACTTTGCAGCCATGTATGCGAGAAAGCTGGGGGCGTCTGAAAATGCTTTGATGAAGGCCCTGTGGGGAGACTGGTGAGTCATTTGCACATGAATATATATATATATATATATATATATATATATATGTATATATTCTCCCTACCTCCCTTTTTCTTTTCCCATCAGCTCTGGGACGAGCTTCGTCCTCTGCGGCAGCGCGGCTGCGTTGCGGCTGAGGTGTATGAGGCTTGTGCTGGAACGGAACCCCCATCTCCCTTTCTCCCTCCCCCCCCCCCCTCTGTTCCCCCTTCTTCCTGCCCATCCCACGCAGGTACTACATTCCCAAGACAAAGAAGATTCTGAGGAAGAAAGCAGCGCAGGCAGCAGTGGGCGGCGCATCGTCGTCAGCTGCCGCCCGGCTGCGGCTGATGTTTGTGCAGTTTGTGCTGGAGCCCGTGTGGCAGATCTACGAGGCGGCAGCTCAAGGTGGGAATAACTCGAGTAACAGCAGCCATGGTGGCGGGGACAGCAGCACCAGCAGCAGTAGCAGCGCTGGTGGTGATCGTGGTAGCAGCAGCACTTCCAAATCAAATCCGGTTCTTGAGAAGATCATATCTTCTTTGGGTCTGTCCGTGCCGCCCAAGGATCTCCAGCACAAGGATCCTCGCGCCGTCGCCCAATCAGTGATCGCCAGGTGGCTGCCCCTCGCGCCCTGCATTCTCTCCATGGTGGTAGATTGCCTTCCCGACCCTGTTGCCGCCCAGAAAGACAGGCTCGGGTGCTACCTGCCGAACCGGCCCTCCATACCTGCTGGTTCGGCAGACAAGCCAGGGGCGGAGGATGGGGAAGGAGGGAAAGGAGAAGCGGAGGGAGGGGAGGAGTGGGTGATGCGACAGGTGGCAGCAGTTGATAGGGCGGTGGAGACTTGTGACTCGAGTGAAGACGCCCCGTGTGTGGTCTTTGTGTCGAAGATGTTTGCTGTGCCGTTTGAGATGCTTCCAAGGGAAGAACAGAGAGCAGAAGAGGAAGCAGCCGCAGCAGCAGCAGCAGCAGCAGCAGCAGCAGCAGGAGGAGGAGTTGGGGATGGGTCAGGGGATGCAACAGGGCTGGATGACGCTGGGGGGTCGGTTCGGGATCGGGATTTTTTCTTTGCGTTTGCTCGGGTTTTCTGCGGGCGGCTACGGGCGGGGCAGCGCGTCTTCGTCCTCTCCCCTCTGTACGACCCCTGCCGCCCGGGCACGTGGGCCAGGCACAGACAAGAGGCGCAAGTGGGCGCACTGTTCATGATGATGGGGCAGGGCCTGCAGCCAATCAGCAGCGTGCCAGCTGGCAGTTGTGTGGCGATCAAGGGGCTGGAGGCGTGCATTTTGAAGAGCGCCACTGTCTCGTCAACGCCCTTCTGCCAGCCATTTGCGTCCATGGTGTTCCAGGTGACTATTTTTGGGAATAGGTGAGAGGAGGAGGTTTGGGTAAGGGGGTGGTGGGGGTAAGGGAGCTGTGGGGCGTTCAAGGGGTTGGAGGCGTGCATATTGAAGAGCATGACTATGTCTTCCACTCCCCACTGCTCTCGTTCGCTTCCATGAATTTCCAGGTAACTGCTTTTGTGGGGCCGGGATTGGGAGGGAGCAGCATTGGGGCGTCTTAGAATGTCTCCTCCCCTCTTTCCCCCCTCTCCTTCCCCCCCCTCCCCCCTCTTCCCCGCTCCCAGGCTGCCCCGATAGTCCGTGTGGCGATCGAACCGGAGGATCCCCGCCTCCTCCGTCATCTTGATCTTGCAGGGCGTTTTTTAGAAAGTCCAAAAGCACCTGCCTCTTCTCACCCGCGGCCACAGATTGCGCCTGCTCAACCCGCATCCTCAAACGGAACCCTAACCACACCCCTTCCCTCCCTCCCCCCAGGCTGCCCCCATAGTTCGTGTGGCGATCGAACCTGAAGACCCCCGCCATCTCCCGCTCCTCACCCTGGCCTGCGCCTGCTCAACCGCGCCGACCCATTTGTAGAGGTGGTGCTGGCCTGCTCAGGCGAGCATGTGATAGGGCCGGCGGGGGAGGTGCTCCTGGAGCGGTCCATCAAGGACCTGCAGGAACGGAATTGAGACGTCTCAAAATCACTCCTTCCGGCTTCCCCCCCTCTCCTCCCCCTCCCCCCCCCTTTCCCCAGGCTGCCCCTATTGTCCGTGTGGCCATAGAGCCGGAGGACCCCCGCCATCTCCCTCTGTTGACCCGCGGCCTGCGCCTGCTGAACCGTGCCGACCCCTTCGTAGAGGTTGTCCTAGCGCGCTCAGGCGAGCACGTGATAGGGGCGGCGGGGGAGGTGCATCTGGAGCGGTGCATCAAGGACCTGCAGGAGCGCTTTGCGCGGATCAAGCTCGTCGTGTCCAAGCCCATCGTTTCCTTCCGAGAGACTGTTGCTCCGAGCCCGTATGTTCACTTTGGGTCCGCTTCTGCGTTTCCTACAACCGTGCTTACGGTTACCACCACGCCGGGGCCTCCGCCTAGTGTTACGTCAGTGTTTGGTGCCGGTGGTGCTGCTGCTGGTGTTGATGGGATGAGCAGTAGTGGGAGCACAGGATCCTCGCTAACAGCAGCTGCGTTATCACCATTAGCTGCTCTGGCAGCAAATTATTCATCCGTGGCGACTGGAGCTGGAGCAGCCATCCCACTGGGATTCGGTCTTGGTTACGCGCTTGCGGTTACCACCACAGGGACTGGCACTGGTGGTGCTACTGCTGCTGGTGGTGGTACTGCTGGTGGTTCTGGTGCTATTGGCCCCCCAGCAGCAGGAGGAGCAGCAGGAGCAGGTTCACACGGGGGAGGTGCTTTCTGGACGGAGCTCTGGGCGGCAAACGGGCGGTGCAGGGTGCGGGTGCACGTTGAGAAGCTTCCTGGAAAGCTGGCAGCCGTGATGGAGAGAGAGGGGGAGACTTTGAGGGATGCACTAGTGGAGGAAGGAGGGGGGATGGGGGGAGGAGGGAGAGGAGGAAGAGGAGGAAGAGGAGGAAGAGGAGGAGAAGAAGATGGAACGAGAGAGGAAGGAGGAGTGCCAGCACAAGTCGCACAGTCAATGCAGCAGTCGAGGCAGTCAGCAACTCTTGCATCGCTCCGCCAGCGGCTCTTGGAAGCGATAGATGAGGCGGACATAGATGAGGGGATGGACGCATCTGGGGGAGGCTCATCTGCCAGTGCGTCTGCTGGCGCCGCCTCGTCTGCTTCCGGAGCGAATCAGCCAATGGGAGCGGAGGCAAAACGGGCGGCAGTGGCGGACTTCCGGGCGGCGTGGCGGAGCAAGCTGGAGAGAATCTGGTCTTTAGGACCGAGACATGTGGGGCCAAACCTGCTATTGGCACCTATTGCTTGTCATTCCAGTGGAGATGGTTCGGGTGATTCCAGTGCAGGAGCATCTGGCCAGGGGGTGTCTGGTAGCTTGCCAGCTGGCGGTGTGGTTGTTCAAGGGCTGCCAGAAGCTTCCTGGAAGCTGGGGCTTGTGAGGAGGTTTGAGATGGAGGGTGCTGCGAAGGAAGCAGGGGGAGAGGCAGGAGTGCCAAGCGCTGCTGATTCCGGTGCTGCAGACGGGAAGGAACGAGGGGATCGGGAGGAAGCTGTTGATTCGAATGAAGCACAGCACAGCACAGCACAGGCTCCAGCAGATGGCAATGCGGCTGGTGCTGATGCTAATGGTGCTGCTGCTGCTGCTGCTGCTGCTGCTGCTGCTGCTGCTGCTGCTGCTGCTGCTGCTGCTGCTGGTACTGGTAGTTCTTTCAGTGGTGGGGACTCTGATGGAGGAGAGGATGACGTGGCACTGCGGCACGAGGCCGAGGGATTGGCCGGGTCGGTAGTGAGTGGCTTCCAGCTCGCCACGTCAGCAGGGCCTCTGTGTGAGGAGCCCCTGTGGGGCCTGGCGTTCACTGTAGAGGTCGTGATTGTAAGGGGCGCTGGGCGGGCAGGGGCGTTCAGCAGCACAACCACCAGCACCAATACCACCACCAGCAGCACCAGCGGCGGCAGCGAGCAGCAGGCTAGTAGTGAACTGCCACATGCTCCTGTCGCTTCTACTACACCGCCTGCCCCTTCCGCTCCCACGCCCACCGTTCCCACATCGAGCGTGCCCATATCGAGCGTGCCCATATCGAGCGTGCCCATATCGAGCGTGCCCATATCGGGCCAAGTCATGAGCGCAGTGAAGGACGCGTGCAGAGCCGCAGTGGCCGCCAACTCCCCGCGGGTGGTGGAGGCGATGTTCCTGTGCGAGGTCACCACCACCACCGAAGCCCTGGGCGCCGTGTATGCGGTGCTGGGGAGGAGGCGGGCGGCCGTGGTGCGGGAGGAGATGAATGAAGGATCAGGGATGTTCACTGTGCATGCCCATTTACCTATGGCGGAATCATTCGGATTTGCAGAAGAGTTGAGAGGGAGGACGTCCGGTGCTGCCAGCCCTCAGGTAAGCCGCTTCCCGTTTGCCATCTGCAGCTGTGCCTCGAGACCCACTGCCTCCCCTCAGGTAAGCCGCAGTAGTTTCCCCCTCCCCCTCGCCCCTCGCCCCTCGCCCCTCGCCCTTCGCCCTTGGCCCTGGTAGCCGTGTATGCGGTGCTGGGGAGGAGGCGAGCGGCCGTGGTGAGGGAGGAGATGAGCGAAGGCTCAGGGATGTTCACTGTTCCCACGCATTCAGCCATGGCTGAATCTTTCGGATTTGCAGAGGAACTCAGGGGTAGGACGTCTGGTGCTGCCAGCTCTCAGGTAACTCCTCCCCCTTTCCTCCCTCCTCCCTACCCCTCGCCCCCTCCCCTTGACCTCCTGCCCCTTCTGACTCCTCTCTCTGATGAACAGCTGGCGATGAGCCATTGGTGGCTGGTCCCCGACGACCCGTTCTTTGCGCCGAGGACAGAGGAGGAGTTGGAGGAGTATGGTGACTTGGGGGTGGGCCTGGGTGTCTGACTACTCTCCTCCCCCCTCCTCCTGTATATCCCTCCCCCATCTCTCCCCTCCGCCCCGCCCACACCCCGTCTCTCTCCCCTCCTTCCGCTTCTCCCCCGCGTACAGCTGGCAATGAGCCATTGGTCGATGGTGCCAGACGACCCGTTCTTCGTGCCGCGGACAGAGGAGGAGAGGGAGGAGTACGGCGACCAGGGGGTGGGGCTGGGCGTGAACGTGGCTCGCAGGCTGGTGGATGGAGTGAGGAGGAGGAAGGGGCTGCCTGTGGAGGAGAAGGTGGTGGAGAAGGCTACGAAGCAGAGAACCCTGGCTAGGAAAGTGTAGTTTTCTGGCTCACACCAACCACGCAGCAGAAAAAGGAGTGCGGGGACTCGCGGGTGGGGCTTGGTGTGAACGTGGCGCGTAAGCTGGTGGATGGAGTGAGGAGGAGGAAGGGGCTGCCTGTGGAGGAGAAGGTGGTGGAGAAAACCAAGCAGCAAACGCTGGCTAAGAAAGTGTGATTTGTCGATCACACAGCAGAGAGGGAGTATGGGGGCTCTGGGGTGGGCCTGGGGGGGTGACTGTGCCTTCCAAGGTGACTGCCTATGTGAGGAGGAGGAGGGAAGGGCTGCCTGTGGAGGAGAAGGTGGTGGGGAAGGCTACGGAGCAGCGGACTTAAGCTAGAAAAGTGTAGTTCTTCAACAAGACCCCTGTGGGTCTGTGTGGGCCTCGCAGGCTTGTGGATGGAGTGAGGAGGAAGAAAGGGCTGCCTGTGGAAGAGAAGGTGGTGGAGAAAGCTACAAAGCAGAGGACCCTTGCTAAAAAGGTGTGATCTCTTGAGAGGGAGGAGTATTGGGACTCGGGGTGGGTCTGGGGGTGAACGTGGCTCACAGGCTGGTGGATGGAGTGAGGAGGAGGAATGGGCTGCCTGTGGAAGAGAACGTGGCTGAAAAGGCAACAATACAGCGAACCCTGGCTAGGAAAGTGTGATTTGTCGATCACGCAGCCGAGGGAGGAGTATGGGGACTCGGGGGTGGGCCCGGGGGTGCATGTGGCTAGCAAGTGCAAGTTGGTTGCCAATGTGAGGAGGAGGAGGAAGGGGCTACCTGTGGAAGAGGTGGTGGAGAGGAGAAGGCAATGAAGCAGCGCACCCTGGCTAGGAAAGTGTGGCGGGTGGGAGCCAATACGCGGTGCACTGGTGCCCCCAGGGCCTTGCCGTGGTGGCTGGCGTTCATTGTGGAGGAAAGCGCCGCCTGCAGAAGTAACAGCAGTGGGGAGGGTTGCTGTGCTGCGATGCATCGGACCCTGACTCGCTTGAGGACTGCATCCACAGAAACTGGCTCAGCGTGTTGTTCTGGGCTCGTTTGGACGTACGAGTTGTGAGGGAGAGTGCGGAATATGCAAGTCACAAGATGTGATGGCACGTTGGCTTGCTGACAGAGTGAGAAGGGGAGGGAGGGACTTCCTGTTAGGATAAAAGTGTTGGAAAGCTAGCAGTCAGACACTGAATCCTGGGGTGGGGGGATAATTGGTTTCTTATGTGTTGCCCAAACCTTTTTCAGGAAAAATTATGTCAGAGCGTGCTCCTATGGCCTCTTCCCAGGCCAACCTCATCCCAGACTTCCCCTCTCGCCTGAATCTCGGCAATTCCGAGCCCAAATTCGCGTCAATTTCGCGTCACACCATGCGAAACCGCGCTGCACCATTTTGCGTCAACTTCGCGTCAAAGTTCGTGGCACTGTAGCACGCGAGTTGGGGAGAGGTTGGCCTGGGAAGAGGCCATAGGAACACGCTCTCAGTAGTACCTCATTTGTACGCATGTTTCTTACTAGCAATAATATGGTACCACTACAACTGAAGCAACCGCAAATAGTGAGTATCAGGGCCCCACAGCCTCTGGGACAACTATGGTATGGAACCTTTTTGGGGTGACTGTCCTTCGAAGGCCATGTCATTTGTAGCGGGTCGGCTCTCGAGGGTCTGGGGACTTGTGCAACCTTTGCATCGCCTCAAGAAAGAGTCAAGAAGAGTCAAGAGTCGCCAGCCGGCTCGTCTCTCCAGGGGCCGGGGACTTTCCGAAACTGAGGCACAGTGGGGGAGAGCAGGTGAGGCCAGTGAGGAGGAGCGGCAAAAGGAAAGGATACGGTACGTGAATTTACTTGTTGTAAAACAGAAGCCAGAGGTCAAGTGAGTAAAAGCGAAGCCAGAGAGCAAGAGAGCAAGAGAGAGAAAAAAGAGAATATCTTTGGTTCTGTGCGAGCCCTAGGGGGAGGGTCTTGGGGCAGTTTGACCAGAGGCCTGTGTTGGTTCTGTCTTTTTTCCTTTCTTGTGCCCGTGTGTCGCATTGTACTCAGGTTTCATCAATGAGCAGAACAGCTTCAGAAAAAAGAGAGAAGAAAAACACGAGTGTGAGACAACCAGGTGGAGTGACACGGAACAACAAGGGGGAACGGAGGTACTGTATGATGGTTGAGTAACGGAGGAAAGGCTAGTTAACTCTGCAGATAGCATTTTTTACTACAACTGAGTACAACTCACCCTGTAGATGCGTTTTTACCATCAACTGAGTACAAAGTCATGCTGGTGTAATTCATCTCTACGAATGTGAAAATGCTGGTTCTGCTCACCTCAATGCGCTGGCCGAGCAACTTCTGGGCAGCCTCCATCCAGCTGTATGGGAATGAGAGGACGAGATGATGACAGAGAAGGGAAGATTGGGAGACAGGAGAGGAAGGTGATCTATGAAAGCGGAGAGGAAGGTGATCTATGAAAGCGGAGAGGAAGGTGATCTATGAAAGCGGAGAGGAAGGTGATCTATGAAAGCGGAGAGGAAGGTGATCTATGAAAGCGGAGAGGAAGGTGATCAATGAAAGCGGAGAGGAAGGTGATCAATGAAAGCGGAGAGGAAGGTGATCAATGAAAGCGGAGAGGAAGGTGATCAATGAAAGCGGAGAGGAAGGTGATCTATGAAAGCGGAGAGGAAGGTGATCTATGAAAGCGGAGAGGAAGGTGATCAATGAAAGCGGAGAGGAAGGTGATCTATGAAAGCGGAGAGGAAGGTGATCTATGAAAGCGGAGAGGAAGGTGATCAATGAAAGCGGAGAGGAAGGTGATCTATGAAAGCGGAGAGGAAGGTGATCAATGAAAGCGGAGAGGAAGGTGATCAATGAAAGCGGAGAGGAAGGTGATCTATGAAAGCGGAGAGGAAGGTGATCTATGAAAGCGGAGAGGAAGGTGATCTATGAAAGCGGAGAGGAAGGTGATCTATGAAAGCGGAGAGGAAGGTGATCAATGAAAGCGGAGAGGAAGGTGATCAATGAAAGCGGAGAGGAAGGTGATCTATGAAAGCGGAGAGGAAGGTGATCAATGAAAGCGGAGAGGAAGGTGATCAATGAAAGCGGAGAGGAAGGTGATCTATGAAAGCGGAGAGGAAGGTGATCAATGAAAGCGGAGAGGAAGGTGATCTATGAAAGCGGAGAGGAAGGTGATCTATGAAAGCGGAGAGGAAGGTGATCTATGAAAGCGGAGAGGAAGGTGATCTATGAAAGCGGAGAGGAAGGTGAAAGTGGAGAGGAAGGTGAAAGCGGGTCTTGGAAACAAAGGCAATGCAAGTCGAGAGACTGAGTTATGGCTCGTCACATGACTAAACGACTTAGTCATATGACAAGGCAAGGGAAACTCCTTGCCTATGCCTCACTTTGTTACTGGTAACCAGCCTTCAACTTTCTCTGGCTTCCAGTTCATCGATTGGCTCTTTGGTGTGTCCCCCTAGGCCTGTCTCCGACTCAAGAGACTCCACGAAGCGAATTGCGGTCCCCAGCGATTGTCTCCGCACCAAGAGCATCAAGTGCATAAAGCGTCTCAACGAAGCAATACAAATCAGAGAAAAGGCTGTGCCAGTCTTAAAAAACTCCGGCCTCCCTTACTTACTCTGGCATTTCCGCTAGTTGATTCGGCTCTTTGGTGTGTCCGCCTTCACTTGTCTCCGATTCAAGAGTCTCAAGTGTCCCAACAAAGCTGATTGCAGTTCCAGCCGCCCCTGCCCGCCCCGTTCGGCCGATTCTATGCAGATATTCTTGCGGGCTGCCTGGGAGGTCGAAGTTCACCTGGCCGGGCATCCAAAAAAAGGTTCATATGGAAGATGAGAAACCGAGCAGCTCGATTAGGACAATGAAGCGTGTGCCTGATAATGCCATGGTACGGCAAAGGCCGACTCCAGAACGAGCAAGAAAGCTTAAGAAATCTCTGATTGGCACTAACGATGATGGCCGATTACTCCAATGAAGGAGTAGTACCCCAGTAAAGGATCATAGGAGCTCCGGTGGGCTCTAAGCACAACATGATATCATGTTGTGAAGGACTAATTTTTGAGGCGCCTCAAAAGTTGTGAAGGACTAATCTCTCAGTGAAGGATCATAGGAGCTCTCAAGCATTTGAGTGTAAACGAGGATCTGCGATTCCAATTGAGGCTCCGGTGGGCTCTCAGCGCCATATGATATGATGCGAAGGCCCCAACCACACATCTATCGAGGCACTCTCAAAATACCCTGCCTTCACAAGCCTGTCCAGCAACAAGACTTTTTTGCAAAAGCGACGCACGGAGAGAGTCATGGAAGGCGCAATTTGAGACGGCTCAAATCAAAATACACCAAAAGCCGGAGCAAAAACAGCCATGGCTGGAACTGACAAGTTCGGAGGCTTGAGAGGCTGAAGGCTGGACTGGACTGACCACAAAGGGGAGGTTGGGGATGTCAACACCGCGCGCTGCAACGTTGGTGGCTACCAGGACCTGGCGGGTGGGCGGACAGGGGAGATGGGGCGCGTACATTTCGTCACATAGGTGAGCACCACAGGCAGCGTGCGGGGTGCAACAGCAGAGGGGGATGTTAAGATGTTAACACTGCACGCTGCAACGATGGTGGACACCAAGTCCAAGCAGGGGGGATGCGAGGGGGGTGGCACCCAACAATTGGAACGCGGTTTCAGCCCTGCAACCATGTTTCCAACAACGCGGTTTCATGTGGTGAAACCACTGTTGTTCCCTTAGTCGTGCTACGAGGCCCATCCTTGGGGCGCTAGACCACTCCGTTCGAACTATGGGCACCATATGAGCATCACCATGGGACTATGGGTCCCAACGGGACACAGCAGCATCTTGGGTACCCACATGCTCACGTCAGATCACCCATCAAGCCTACTTCTTTGTTTCGGCTCTTGACCTTTAACTCTGCCTACCCTGACCCCCCTTGCACACACAGGAGCTCAAGCCATGGCCCACCAACCACACACAGGAGCTCAAGCCATGGCCCACCAACCACACACAGGAGCTCAAGCCATGGCCCACCACCCACACACCCTCCTCCCTCCCTCCCTCACCTGCACGGTTCCCTGCTTGACTGCGTCCAGGGCAAGTTGCCTTGCTGCCCCTGTCAGGTCACCATGCAGCAATATTGTCTCCTACACCCCAACCAAGACACATTCCTATCTCTACAGCCATACACCCTGTTCTCTCCCTCACCTGCACGGTTCCCTGTTTAAATGCCTCCAGCGCATGTCGCCTTGCCGCCCCTGTCAGGTCACCATGCAGCAAGGCTGCGGTGATTCCTCCCTCTGTCAGCCTGAAGAGGGGAGAGGGGCGTGGATGGAGGGAGAAGGGGGGAGGCATGGGCAGAGGTAAAAGGCACTCAGTGCAGGTCTCCCCCCTTGCTGCCCTTGACAGTCTCCTTGCTGCCCCTGTGAGGTCACCATGCAGCAGCACTTGCAGCAATGCTGCCTTCAGATAGGCCGTTGGGGAGAGGGGAGGGGGGGGAGGGAGGGAGGGGTAAACGTGGGCAGAGGCTAGAAGCGTTTAGTGCGTGTCTCTATGCCGGCCCTGTCAAGTCACCATCCATGCAGCAGCACTGCAGAAAAGCACACCTCTGATAGACTCCTGGTGAGGGAGTGGTGAGGGACAATGGAGGTAAGGGGGAGCAACGAGGGGAAAGGGTGGGAGGAGGGGGAAAGGGGGAAAGGGGGAAAGGGGGAAAGGGGGAAAGGGGGAAAGGGGGAAAGGGGAAAAAGTGGTGAGAGGCTGAAAGCTATACACAGCGCAGCAGCAGCAATGCGCCCTGAGGAGGGGAGGGGGGGGGGAAGGGAGACGAGGGTATGGTGGTGGTAAGTGAAAGCTGCGAACAGCAACCCCCTTGGCTGTGAACAGCACACCTGCCTATCTCGTGCGATGGGCACTAGAAAACCATACAGAGCCCATGGAGCCTCTGTGCTCGACACACTGCGCATGGAGGTTTGAGCTGCAACCAGCCGTGGCAAAATGAGGTAAAGAAACAAGACAACGCCCAGGAATGACTCACGCTTGGTGAAGCCTCTGGGCTCGAAGCACGGTGCGAGCGAAGACCAGCACCTGGTGGGTCTGGTGGGGGAGTGGGTGGGGGAGTGGTTGGGGGAGTGGGTGGGGGAGTGGGTGGGGGAGTGGGTGGGGGAGTGAGTGGGGGAGTGGGTGGGGGAGTGGGTGGGGGAGTACTAAGTAGTGCTCTATGTCATCTGCAGGGTGAGTACTAAGTAGTGCTCTATGTCATCTGCAGGGTGAGTACTAAGTAGTGCTCTATGTCATCTGCAGGGTGAGTACTAAGTAGTGCTCTATGTCATCTGCAGGGTGAGTACTAAGTAGTGCTCTATGTCATCTGCAGGGTGAGTACTAAGTAGTGCTCTATGTCATCTGCAGGGTGAGTACTAAGTAGTGCTCTATGTCATCTGCAGGGGGATTAGGTGGGGGAGAAGGTGCGGGATGAGGGTGAAAACAAGGAGAGAGGAGAGATGAAGCATCTGTGCTCAAAGCAAGCACTTGATGGGTCTGGGACCATAGAGCAAGAGAGCAGCACAATAGGTAGGGGGAGAGGGGGTTATGGGGAAGGGTGAAGAGTGGAGAAAGGAATGGTCAACCGATAATTGAACATGGATCGGAACCCTTGAGTAGGTAAAGCGGTTGATTGTAAACAGACATCAGATTATTTTGTTTTGTTTTTTATTTGAACTTTTTACGGCGCACCGAGAATTGACATAAAGCAGGCAAGATCAGCGACATGCGAGTACCAAACCAATAAGCATGTTGGATGTTTCCTTCAAGAAAGACAGGGAGGCACATTCAACCGATACAGAGAGGGCTGGGGCTCTGCTACTCTACACGCTGTAGGGGTGATTTGAGCCATAGGTGATTCTTTAGGATTCTCAAGGAGATCATCACCTACAGCGTTTTTTAGAAATCTAAAAAATCACCCACAACAGGGAAGAGCATTCAACAGAGCCCGTACAAAGAGGGCTGATGCTCCTTGTATTGTAGGCGTGACTTGGAGGATAGATGCAAGTGACTTGCGCTCTTCTCAATTGGTCCGTTGAGCTCTTCTTGCCCAAACTGACTTGCATCTATCCTCCAATTGTCGCTCCTCTTACTCCAAGTGTCTCGCGTTGCGCCTGCTACTCCAAGGGGTCCTCATTACCCTCCATGGCCCTCCTCACCCGCAGTGACGCCCGTCGTCGAAGGAGGTAGAGAAGCAGAGCAGTTTTCCTTCGAGGGTGGACGCGATAGGCCAGCTGCTTTACTGCAGACAGTGCAAATGGATGGGAGGCAACAAGAAAGGTGACACGAGACAGCAGGTGCACACTTAGTGTCAACAGACAGACAGCAAGCAGACGGCAACCAGACGGCAACTAGACGGCAAGTGGATGGCAACCAGATGGCAAGCAGATTGTGGGCGGCAAGAGTGGGCGGCAAGAGTGGGCGGCAAGAGTGGGCGGCAAGAGTGGGCGGAAAGAGCGGGCGGAAAGAGCGGGTGGAAAGAGCGGGCGGAAAGAGCGGGCGGAAAGAGTGGGCGGAAAGAGCGGGCGGAAAGAGCGGGCGGGGAGGGTGGGCATGGCAGACAGAAATGGGTCACCGGAGGGCTTGTCAGAAGTGGACGGTTGCACGATCAGCATATCGCCTTTGGGAGCAAAGCGCCGCAGAAGCAGCTCGGATTCGGGATGGATGGTGGCAGACACGAGAACGACCTGAGAGGGATGAGGGGAGGCGGGGAGCAGAGTGGAGGGAAGACGGTTCAAGAGAGAAAAAGGGTCATGAGCGGAACAGGTAGTGAGTCACAGGAACAGGTGAGAATCACGAAATGGAACAGGGAATGTCTGTCTGGTGAATCAGAATCACACCTAGAATAGAGCTACCAAACAGACATGAAACAAGCGCTACCTGCACCTGTGATTGAACTGAACGGGCAGCTGGAAAAAGAGCTACCTGCATGTGTGGCCGCTGATCCCTCCTCGTCCCCGCCTTTGCCTTTTGCGGTCTGGGCAGCAGCGAAAAAACTTTCCTCAGGTCTTCCAGAAGGCCCATCTCAGCCATCTTGTCGCATTCCTCCACCACCCAGTGCCGAACCTGCCCGAGAAAATCTTTCGGCAGGGAGCCCAGAGCATCCTTGCCTGACAGCTTGCCTGCGTCTGGTGGTAATTCCAATGCTCTTGAACTTTCGGGCAGTCCCAATTCTTTTGAGCTTTCTGCCGTTTCCACAGCTCTTGAACGGGTTTCATCTCCACATGAAACGGATTCTGATGGAGTGGTTTCAACAGTTTCAGTTGATGCAGTTTCAGCTGCAATGGGGGTTCTGGTCAGTGTCAAGGGTCCCAGTGGTGGGTGCTTCTCGGAAGCTGCCTGCAACATAAGTGGGGGAGGGAGGAACGGGGGAGGAGGAGGGTGTTGTCTGGGTTTGGGCCCAAAACAAGCTGGCTATTTAGAATTCTATATTAAAAAACTCTTAAAAGAAAAACGAGCACTGGACCCAGGGGTTCCAATCTGTGTTAATGCAGTTCAGATCTAAGTGGAGAAATACGCTTTGGCAGCCTAGCGTATTGCGTATATACGCTAGCGTATAATACGAATACGCTGTACGCTAGCTAAGTACGCAATACGCTAGCGTATTTCTTGGCGGGCAGCCCGGCAAGAAATACGCAAAAAAATATGCGACAAATTTGCGACATGGCAAAACCCCACAGGGATTTCTCCATGTCGCAAACCGAAATTTGGCTTTTGAAATCCTCAACCCAACCCCTTCGCCCCTCCCAACCGCACAGCATCCCACCCAATCTCCAGTGGTTTGGGGGAGGCTTACCTGAGATGGGTGGTTGGCTGGTTGTTGGAGGAGTTTGGAACCCTTGACATGCCCTTGGTGGCTTGAACTATTTATTTATTACCATGCTAAATGATGCCACATTTGGTGGGGGGAATTTGGTGCTCTGCACCCCCCCTCTTCCCTCCCCAAACAGGTTTTTTACACCTGCCCGAGTTTTTTTTAGACCTGCCCGCCAGAGCGTATTTCCTAGCGTATCCAATCCCGGAATCAAGCGTACAGCGCATATATGCTAGCGTATAATACGCTGTACGCGTATTTCTCCACTTAGGTTCAGATGACTATCACCTGTTGGTAGAGTCGCAGCAGCCAGCAAGGCATGGCTAACACCATGGGTGGAAAGCATCACCAGGCGTGGCAACGCTAGGCGTGGCAACACCTGGCTTGGAAACAGCATGCGTGGCAACAGCAGCACATGGGGCGCAAAAACTTGACCAGGTGGGCCTTGGCACACCAACAGCACGAGCCAGCCTCGTCTGCACAGACTGGCTTACCAGCCTCTCATCGACTCACAAAATCCCAACCACACCCTTCTCACCTGTTGGTAGAGTCGCAGCAGCCGACCAGGCGTGGCAAGCCGACCATGCGTAGCAAGCCGACCAGGCGTGGCATGGCAACACCAGCGCATGGGCAAAGCAAGGCTCCGTACACACCACTCACCACATCCAACCCCACCGCACCCCCCACAGGAGACGGCCCACCTGTTGGAATAGCCTCAGCAGCCGACCAGGCGTGGCAACAAGCACATCGGGGGAGCGGCGGTAGAGCGAGCGAACCTGAGGGGCTATGGGGGTGGGGGCAATGTGTATGCAAGGGGAGGTGGAAGGGGAGAGGGGAGAGAACGGGGAAGGGGGAGGAGGACGTGAGTGGGGGCACCACCAGTTTGAGATGGGCAAGAGACTGCTTGTGAGTCAACGCAAAGGCACCAGTTTGAGATGGGCAAGAGGAGCTGATTGCGAGGTTATGAAGTGAAGCAGTGTGCTGAGCTCAGCTCCATGTTTTTTGTTGCCTTACCAAGACTGAGAACTCTTAAAAATCACCTCAAAAATATTGAGAACTCTCAAAAATCACCTCAAAATTATTGAAAACTCTAAAAAATCACCTCATAAATATTGAGAACCTGCTTGTGAAATAATGACATACTAGTGAGCCGTGAAGAAGCAACAGCTGTGACCATTTCCGCCAAATTCAGCTCCAGGATGGATCAAGTGAATTGAGTGAGCACAACCCCTCAGCAAGTGAGCGCCTTACAAAGCTTGCCTAAGATAGGGAATGCAGTGGACCAGCAGCAGTGACATGACCACCCCACCTTCAGCCCCGGTGCAAAGCGAGTAAAGCACGGTTCAGCCTTTCTATGTGGGTTCAGGGTTCAGCGTTTTAGGCTTTACTGTTGATTGACGGAAACTTGCCTGAGGCACACAGTGCTCCAATTTCAGCTCCAGGATGGATCGGGTGAATCGAGCTTCATATAAATAATTATATAAAATCACTTGCCTGGGATACAGTGTGCCTCGGGGCAGCAGCAGTGAGCACCTTTTGAGTTGACTCAAAAGGCAGCAGTGACCACTGACCACCTCCGCCTTCCGCTCCGGTGCAAAGCAAGAGAATCCCCCCTTTCCATGCATTAACTAACTACAAAGAACTTGCCTGGGATACAGTGTGCCCTCAATCGGCCAGGTGAATCGAGCTTCATGCCGACCTTAATTGATAACGGTGGTGATAGGGTGTGGGCGATTTTTTAGATTTCTCAAAAATCGCCTAATTTTGAGAATTCTAAAGAATCAACTTGCCTGGGATACAGTGTGCCCTGAGCCTGCAGCAGTGACCACCTCCACCTTCAGCTCCGGGATGGATCGAGTGAATTGGCGGACCTCCTCCGCCACCTGATTGGCCAGCTCCATCGTGGGCGTCAAAACAAGACAAAACGGGCCACTGGCACCCGCAGCAGCATCAATACCACCACCACGAACATCAGCACCACTGCCAGGTGGCGCATTGCTATTGGCTGTTGAGCGCTCCTTCCCTCTGGTCTCCTTGCGGTGGTGGCGCAGGCGAGAGGAGGGGACGTGGGGGGGCGAGAAGAGGGGGGAGGAGACGGAGGGGAGGTGGAGGAGGTGCAGGACGGGGAGGAGATACGCAAGGGTCTTGCCTGATCCTGAGGGGGACGATAGGAAGAGCTGGGAGGGAGGAACGGGGGGGGAGAGGGGGAAGCATGAGGGGAGGGGTTTCAGCATGTTTGAACAAAGGAGGTGGAGGAGGGGGGGAGGAGATGTGCGAGGGTCTTGCCTGACCCTGACGGGGAAGACAGGAGAGCTGAGAGGAAGGAACGGGGGGGGAAGGGGAGGCGTGAGGGGAGGGGCTTTAGCATGTCTAGAAAGAGGAGGTGGGTGGAGGCTGGGGAGGAGGTAGGCGAGGGTCTTGCCTGATCCAGAGGGGGAGGACAGGAGGAGCTGGGAGGAAGGAAAGGGGGGAAGGGGGAAGCGAAGAGAGGGGAGATGCGGTAAAAGCTACTGTGAGACAGAAAGACTAACCCAAGGGTCTTGCCTGATCCTGAGGGGCTTAAGGGTTTGAGGTTAAAGGCTTGTTGGAACATAGGAGGTGGGGGATGGGGAGGAGATAGGCGAGGGCTCTGTTGGAACCTGAAGTTGAAGAACGAAAGAGCTGGGAGGAAGGAACGGAGGGGAGGCAAAGGGAGAGGAGGTGTGGGGAAAGTCAGAGTGACATGGGGAAGTAGAGCAGCATGCCAAGGTGTTGCCAAACCCTGAGCGGGAGGCCAGGAAGAGCTGGGAGGAAGTCGGGGGAACGGCGGGGGAACGGCGGGGGAATGGGGGGGGGGGGGATGGGGGGGGAATGGGGGGGGAGGATGGGGGGGGGGATGGGGTGACGGGGGTTTTCCGGAACCTGAGGAGGCAAGTTCAACTCTACAATAACTTGCTATACTCGCCCTCGGTAATTCACTATACTCACACCCCATGACTCGCTATACTCACACTCTCCCCCTTTAAAAGACGTGGAATGCCCTCTTCCTGAATGCGCGTCGGGACAAAGAACGCCGCCCCACGGAGCACCCACTGCAGCGGCTCGGCCAGCTGGCGGAAGGCCCCTCGAACCGCCACCATGTGGCTCTCGCCCTCCAGCCGCCGCTGCTCCCCCTGCTGCTGCTGGTCCTGCTGCTGGCGATGCTCCCTCTGCTGCTGCTGCTGCTGCCCCTCCGCGCGGCGCTGCTGGTTCCGGTTTTCCCGGCTCTCCTGATATTGGCGCTGCCCCTTCCCGCCACGTGCAGCGCCATTCACGGATGAGAAGGATCGGATGGTCCCAGCGCTAAGGAAAGGAGGGAAAGGAGCCTCCTCGGGTATAGTGTGAGGGGGCTTTGCAAGGAGATGCAACGAAGGACAGCAGCTCGGAGCCGGTGCGAAGAGAGGATTGGGAGGATCGGGACTAGGGTTTGCTGTTGCTTGGGGAATCGACGGACAGGATGGTATTGAGGGGATAGATCCGACGGCGGAGAACGACCCAGAGATGATCGGACGGAGGAGATGGGTCGGATGAGCGGGATGGATGGCGAGAAGTGGATGAAGTTTGCGACAGTTATGCGACGTTGCTGTAACGATCGCCTTCGGCGACATCCAAGTTGTCATTCGCAACGATATCGTGGTAACCATTCGCGATCCGAATGGCCTACTAAGCACCGCCATGTAGTCAACGAGGGTTTATAGGCGGGTAAGAGCTCTTTGCGCGTATTTAAGCCTAAAAAAATCTGGCGCGGTGCGTGCGCCGCGTAATGCGTAACCCGAGTCGCTAAGGGAAAGTCCTCCAGGCGTCACCGTGACGCTTCGCCAGCTGACAGTCGGGAGCGACGAAACAAGCGATCAGCCTGCAATTTCATCTCGCCAACGCCAACGAGAGCCAGAAACCTCGCGTTTTCTGCGGATTCCGATCTCGTTAGGGTCAAGATTCAGGAGACCCGGCAGGGAGTGCAGCAGGATTCTCGCCGCATCAACCGGCAGCCCAATTGCAATCGTTCTCCCGCGTGAACTTGGGAATGGACTCGTTTTTAGGATTTCCATGATACGTATTCGCCAGTGTTTTTCTTTTCTAATCCCCATATGCAGCATGCTAAGAGATCACAATTTTAACTGAATTCTGTAACCAGTGGCCAACGTTGCCATAAGTGTAAGGAAATTCCCTTTTCCTTACTGGGCTCCACTACAGCGCATACGCCCTCGACTCTCAGAAGTCCAGGCTCGGCCAACTTCTTGGGTCCCGAACAGGGGTCCTGACAGCAGACGAATTCGGTCTGATCGTCTGATAATCATGCTTGATTTTTTAGGTTCATCTGATTTTCAAGACCACTTTATTAATTCCGTCTGAATGTTAAGACAGACGTTTTTACTTCGTCTAAAAAATCAGACAACGAGTACATTTTCGTCTGAAACAAACAAATGTGCCCACTAGGCCGCAAGGCAGCTTGTCTGCCAGATTCGGTCATTCCCTTTGCCATGCGTGATTATGAAATCGCGTGAATTCGCATCCACGCTGTCGAAAACCTCAGGCCCCTAGCTGTCCTCTGACTCAGAAGCTGCCACGCCGTTGTCTCTTAGCAGGGTGTCGGCACTCCAGCCAGGCACAGCGCAGGACTCAGCGTGGCGGTATTACGTCACGGCGTTGTCCCTTAGCGTATTGTCGGCGCCCGTGACAGCATTGAGCAAAATGATCCTGGCAGCATTGCGCCAGCACATTTCGTCCTCGGCAGGCAAAGATGCAAGGACATGAGTGATGCACCGCGGGCTGCGTCCCACACCATGCGTCGAGGCGCACAACGAAGGCGCTTGGAGGGAGATGAAAGTCCCCCCAGTTTGCCCCCCTAACCCATCATTCCTCCTTACAAGCGTTCATGCGTAGCACGAGCAGCAACAGCTCTCTATGGCTAGCTGCACGACTCTAAGCGTGTAGATTTTGCTCCTCTGCGGCTGTTTCTGGCTTGCGCGATCGTGAGACAGGCCCCATGACAACAGACGCTGCTGGGGTCAGCGCCCCGGCAGCCATACCTAGTTCTTCGGGACAGCCCTCGACTGCTGCTCCGTCGATCTCGGCGCTGGAACTTCTAGGCCGCAAAACGTGCAACCAGTTTGCTGCTTCCCCTGCGCTGTCCGCGGTTCCTTCCTGCCCGGAGCCCGTTAGTTTGGTGCCGTCGGTCATTCCACCGACCATGACGGCTCCTAGAGTGGCGCCCGCTGCAGCGCCACCCGCGGTAGCGCCTCCTAGTCCACCGCCCGCATGGTCGCCGTCTACCATGACGCCACATAGTCCCTCGACTGCTGCTGTGGCGCCTACTGCTGCGCCTCCTAATCCCCCTCCCGTTGCTTCACCTCCTACCGTGCTGCCTGCTTCGCCCCTAATTGCATCTCAGCCTGCCGTGGTTCTTTCGAGTTCATCCTCCGAGGCTACACCCAGCACCCCGCGCTTCGACGGCTTGCTGCCAGTAGTAGACGTTGAAGAGTGGGTCCGCAGCCCGCTCCCCCCATCCTCTCCTTGCCTCGCTAGCACGTCGACTGCTGGTGCACCGGCCCCTCTCTTCTCTGCTGGCCCTGTTTTACCCAACAGGTACCCTAGGAAGACGAAGTACAAGCAGCGCAAGCTAACATTCGGGAGGCCGCGATCACCCACCTCCACGCCAACTACTCCACCTGCCACGCTCACCCTGGACTGTCGACCCCTGATTCACCTGACGACATTGTGGACGACGGTCCATGGCCGCTGACACTGGAGGAGCTGAAGCTGAAGTGCAGTGAGCAATGGAAACATCACTTCCCCTGGCTGTTCATCTCGGAGACAAAGGAAGGTCGTTCGTGCATGAAGTGCACCATCTGCATCACGCACGGAGAGCCAACGTACCAGTATGGGCGCTATGGGGAGGGCGGCATCAACATTCAGAAGCAGACCATGCGGAAGCACGATCACAGCATCAAGCATGAGGCAGCGATGGCAGCAAAGGCGCATCGGGATGGCAAGATGAAGAAACAGAGGAGTATTGTGGAATTTGAGAACGGGGATGAGGACGTACGACGTTTGAAGAGGCTCTTTGCCATTGTGCACTTCATCTGCAAATCTGACGCCCCCATCGCTGTGAGAGTACGACCCCGTTACACCACCTGGCCTTTCCTTATTTCCTTCCTATTTCATTTCTCTTTTTATCTCATCTCATTTGGTTTCCTATTCCCCATTTTCCCTTAACCTTTGGTTTATCCTGCTATTATCATTATATCATCGACCAGGCTTGGGGTGTACTGGTGCGCTCTATCTAGCGTAATCCTGCCATAATCCCTTAAAGCCAATAGCTTCGCGTGGCTATACGCAGGGTGATTCTATTTTCTAGAAGGGTCTATTCCCTTAGGATAAGATAAACCTGGTTACCTGATGTACTCTGGAAGTATAAAAGCACCTTGTACTGATCGATAGTGCAATCTTTCCTCGAGTCATTCGATCCTGTGACAATCGCCCTGTTTGTTTCATTGGTTCAATTCATGGCAGAGCAGGGGACTCCGGACATGCCCCTGAAGGAGAACAGCACGTATTATTCAGATTGAGTGTAGTCGAATGACACACCCTCTAACCCTGACGTATGTTATTGTCTGGCTTGGCTGTCTTTTTTAAGCATCAAAATACACGACTGACTTGTCTGTTTAACTCTGCAGGTACGGTTTTGCCCAGCTGGTCGAAACCATGGTGGCCTATTTGCGCGCAAAGCAGTTGAAGCACATCCTGGCGAGCCCGTACCTCGGCATTCAGCTCGACGAGAGTACGGACAGGCGGCGGGGGAAGCATCTCATTGTCTACTTGACTTTCCTACGGGACGAGGAGGTCGTCACCGAGTTTTATGCGCACCTCACAGTGGACAAATGCGACGCGGCTTCGCTGCAAGCTATCCTCCTCAAGCATCTCGAGGCAACCGGCGTGGACCACCAAAAGATCTGCGGCATCAGCACGGACGGCGCGAGCGTCATGACGGGCGCGTCGACCAGGCTGGTGGCACGGCTGCGGTCCCGCATCCAGCACCTAGTCTCTTGCCACTGTATCGCACAAAGATAAGAGCAGTGTTCTAAAAGCATGCTGTACATCTTCCAATACAGTCACCCCCTTCTGACTACGCACATGCTTACCTTGTGTGCATGGAAGCTCTTGCTGCCAAGGATGCGGCAGCTGACTTTCCCGACCTTGCCATTGTTGACAAGGTCGTGAAGTCACTTGCAGAGGTCCTCGGCAGGTCCATTGTCTTGCATTCACGTTTCAAGCAGCTCCAGGATGTCGTCTCAGAGACGAACCTGGAATTGCAGGGAATCCCCAACATCAGATGGTTATCCCAAGGTGAGGCCATCCAGAGGCTAGTCGAGGTATTCCCTACCGCCATCATACTCCTGTCAGAGCATGACCGGCAGGCGTACACCATGGTAATTAGCTTGAAATTCCATTTCCTATTCTACTTCCTTGCCAATGTCCTCAACGAGCTCAACCTGCTCAAACTGAAGTTTCAGCGCCGCCAGGTAAATGCTACTGCATCCCGATGTGCGGCTTTATAAATGACTCATTTCTAACATCTCTTTGCTTTTCCTTCAGGTCGACGTCACCCACGTTTGCCAAATGGTGGACAACACCAAGCTAACTCTGCGCAGCCGCTATGTCAACTATGGCGAGGCCTTCGGTCATGGCAACACGGCCCTAGTGGAGTTCATCAAGAAGCACTCATCACCACATAACCGCGAGGTGACGGTCGAGGGCGTAGACGGCGATGGCACCAGGCTCATCCACACCTACACGCTGCACGAGAAGGCTCTCCCTGGACAGATCAGTGGCGGGGACATGAAGTCGCTGATGACCATGGCAACTGCGTTCGTGCTCAGGCTGCTGGACAGCATTGATTCCCACTTAGCAGATCTCAAAACCCTCAACTGCAGCAAGCTCTTCTGGCAGGGAGCGTATCCACGGACCATCCAGAAGCGGGAGCGACGATTTCCACTGTGGCTGACAGGTTTACGCAACCTGTACAAGCGTGAACCCACTTCTCCCGATACCCTGCCTGGTGAATCCTCAACTACAGCAAGCTTTCCGCGGCTAGTTTCTCTATTCCTCGGTCCTCACTCCCAAAAACCATTGATTTGCGCATGTATTGACTATGCAATTGCAATTATCTCCCAATTGTGCTCACTCCATGATTTCCCCTCCGTGTCCTGCGCCTGCTCCACCCTTATTCCAGGCATCAACTGGACAAAGGCTTAGAAGGAACTGACTCAGTTTACGACTATCATGTCAACACATTGCAAGGACTACGGCTTTCTCGACGGCCTGAAGAAAATGCTACGATCCCCTGACTGGCAGACGACCTACCCGAACTTGGTGCATCTATGGATCGCTGTGGCGGTGCTTCCTCTGAGCACTGTCGAATGCGAGCGGGGTTTCAGTCGCCATAATGTAATCAAGAGCTGGCTCCGCGGGAACCTGTGCGACGCGAAGCTGTCGGATCTTCTGTCCATTCCTGTCGGGGTGGGACTCAATGGTGGAGAGGTGGCGGGCAGTGAAAAAGCGGCGGCCGGCAAAGGAGGTTGTCATGGCACAAGCGGCACGCCCCCAGAAGAGGAAGATGTCAGAGGCAGCAAGAGCAGCCATGAGAGCAGCCAAGAGAGCAGCAATAGCAATAGAGTCAGCAGCCCGGCAAGCTGCAACAATGGCCAAAGCAGAAGCGGCAGCTGAGGAGGAGGACCCTGGAGTCGCCTACTGGAGGAGGAAGGCAAGAGGCAAGGCTACTGCAATTGACCTGGATTCTGAGAGTGAAGAGGAGCAGCAAGACAACCCCTTTGCAAGTGACAGTGAAGATGAGTGAAGTTCAGTGTCAGCATGATTCTATGCTCGACCGGCTGTCAATGACGTGCCATTGAAGTGCTACTGGCTAGTGAAGTGAGTAGAT